ATTTAAACACAAATAATTAAATCAAGCAAGACCACGAATCAGTTTGGGACTGCAAATGCATGAAAAAAAATCATATTATAGATCAACGCGCCACCAAAAGACATCATCACTATTGCGAGAGAACTTTTCAAAACAGTGGCGGGCGTCATTGCAAGAGGAAAGGCCGACAAAAATAGTTGACATCCTGAGAACTTCCCAATCCCCTTCATGCCCGTCGTGGCACTTCTTGACGCGACACGTCCTGCAATCCTTGGCTTCATAAGCGCTACGGCCGTGAGTGCGTGCCTTCATCTGGATGTGCAGCAAGGGGTTCGTCGTCAGGACCGCCTTGGTCACGCGGCTGTGCACCCACGAGTGTGCGCATTGGAGGTGCCCCGTCGGAGTCAGGATGAGGCTGCGCAGTGCAGGGGCGGTCTCGGCCCTGATGCCCTGCAGCAGCTCCTTCACTTGCTGGCCGTCCACGAGGCTCTTCATCTCCAGGCAGCGCAGGGCCGGCAGCGAGGCCAGCGCGTCGAGTAGCGGCTGCACCTTACCGAGCTTACGGCCACTGCAGACAAGGGACAGCTCCTCCACGCGAGACCTGCCGGACGCGGCCAGCGCCCGAACCAGATCCACACCGTCACAGGGATCAACATGTTTCAGATGAACCTCCCTCAGCTGGTTGGCGCCGCGGAAGAACTGCGCAGCCCCGGGGAGCTTGGACGTGTCGCCCGCGGTGACGCAGAAGCCCCCCTGCAGTCGCACGACACTCAGCGACTGGCATGCAGCCAGGGCCTCCATCCCGGTCAGCAGGGGGCTGCACAGCGTGCGAAGCTTTGGTGCAGCGGCAAGGAGCTCGGCCGTCGAAGGCGACGGTGTACTTATGTCTACGCTCTCCAGGGTGGCGGCGTGAGCGGCTAGTACGAAGTTCTCAAAGCAGGGCCCCAGCTGCACGCCGCAGTGAAAATGCGTAAGTGACGACTCCAGCTTGGTGTTGCACGAGAAGGTACTTGCCATTGTGGAAAGGCGAGTAAGATTTTGGAGACCGAACATGTGATTTAGCGAGAGTTTCTTCAGGCCGCACGTCGACGCCACGGTCTGCAGCAGCAGGGAGACGTCGGGCTCGGCGCCAGGCGTCACGTCGCGGTAGAACGCTAGATAAAGGCGTTGAAGTCGGCCAAGCTCCACCTGGTTTCCGATGACCGGGACAGCTGCGCGCGCGGAGCAGGCACTCCCGTCTAAATAAACGCTCAGCTCCACTGCGGCACACTTGGTCGTCGTGTACGGCGGGTGGCGATGCTTCTTCGACAGATCGTAGCACATCCGGTTCACTCGCGGCGCCAGTCGCAGCGCGGGGCACACTTGGCACTTCTTCTGGTGGTAGGAGTGGTGGTGGTAGTCGAGGATCTGCCGGCGACGCCACACATCCGGGGCGAGCGCCAGATCCGCGAACCTCTTGCACACGAGGCGGCTGGTGAAGAGGTCCTCCAAAGGTAGATGCTCCAACACCACCAGGATCACGTCGTCGGGTAACGCCTCCATTCTCTGTATGGACACACAACCATCGGCGAAGAGTTCAACGACGGTGCTGATTCGGTGCCAATTTTAAGTTTGCTTTTAAACGGGTATAGTAGGTTTCGCCCGTCCGTTCGCGTCTAGGGCTCGGTCTAGGGCTTGCAATCCCCTGAAGGTATGTACATTTAGCATCCCTCAAATTGATACTTTGCGAGGCAAGGGCACGTTGGGCTTCAAAACGTTCTCTTACCCGGACCGGACCCTTCACACTTGGTCAATTGTTCTGTTCAACTAGTTCAGGACTTTCAGCAGGGGCAGGGGCGGCAGCCCCGTTGCGTACCGAGCAACACTACGGGTGCTCTTGGCGGGCCACCGACCTAACGCAGCTGCTTGGCAGGTTGGCCCATCCCTATCCAACGCGCAGCAGGCGGATAGAGTGTAACCCAGGGGTTGCAAACTCGCGGCTCTCGAGCCAAGCGCGACTCGCCTAGCCCGGTAGTGCGGCTCGCCGAGAGCCGCGCACTTTTTGCGTTCGGCTGGAACCGATGTTCCCGAGAGCCATGCTTGGCCCAGAGCATAGTGGCGCCAAGAGGGGGGTCACGGGTATGCAGCTGCATACCCGTGATCGCGAGTAAAAGGGGGTTGAGGGGGAGTAAAAGGGAGGTAAGAGAAAGTAAAAGGGGGGGAAAGGGTTGAAAAGGGGGGGGGGGGAGGAAAGGGTAGGAAAGAAAAGAGAGGAAAAAAGGAAAGGAAAAGGGAGGTAAAACGGAGTAAAAGGAGGTTTTAAAGGGGGCCTGCATACCCGTCCGCAAGAAGTCTTGGCGCCACTGGACCAGAGTGTGTGTCTGGCTTTGTCTCACTCATTGAGTGCCATTAAGAGTGACAAAGACAGACACACGGGCCGGCGGACGACAGCACTTGCTCCTGTCTCTCTCACTCTAATGCCGAAGAGAGTGTGTAGCCTATGCAGGCGCGGCTTGGCTGATAGCTCGAGTTTGAGACCACTGACGTAACCTCCTCCAAAGCCCACTGGGCGGACACCTTGAAACTGCCAACCCGCACAGAAAAAAGGAGCGTTAGGATGGCTCCGTCGTAGCCATTCTCAACACGTCGCGGAGGCTCGCTGTGATCATTCTCCAGCTTTTGTGGAGCCGGGCCGTAGCAATCGCAAATGGCTCCGCAATAGGAAACCTAATCACGGAAATTCCGCAGCCGCCTTGGAGCCAAACATAAGCCGGCACCTGGTACCTGGTGGTAGGTTTCGCGCGTTCCCGTCAAGGGCTTGCAATCCCTTGAAAGTGCCCCCACATTTAGCGTCCCTCGAGGTGATACGAGGCGAGGGCACGTTAGGCTTCAAAACGTTCTCCTACCCGGACCCTTCACACTAGAGCCCTGCAAAGAGCGAGCTACGCGAGCCAAATGCCTACCCCAACCCCCCCTCTCGCCTGTCAAAGAAGGGGTCTAGCTAGATGCGGGGCTTCACACTTGGTTCGGGCGCTCTGGGTGGGCCACCGACTTTACGCAGCTGCTTGGCGGGTTGGCCTATCCAGCGCGCAGCAGGCGCTAAAAGCGTCACCTCCCGAAACGCTCACTGTGAGGACACCCTGAAACTGCCGACTACCTCACAGATAGCCAAGCGATACATAAAAACAATCAAGAACCGATCTTGAAAGCACATGATACAAATTTAATAATAGGTCTGTGGTCCTTGTTCTAATGTTTTCTTATATTAAGCTGTTATTAGCTTATGGCTGCATGTCACTTGCAATTTTGCTATTCGGCGGAATAGCGGCGTAGGGGAGGAGATAGGCGGGGGCGGGGGGCAGAGCGGCCGGCGTCGGTGGCTCAGTATTGTTGGGCAGGGGGCCTGCTCCTGCTGGTAAATCCGCTTCCTTGATAATCAAGGACAAAATTAGGTTTTCAAGGATAAAATCTCGGTTTCAAGGACCAGAACACCGATTCAAGCACGCGATCCTTGAAATATTCCGGAAAATGTCTGTTTTCAAGGGTCGTCCTTGGAAAACCGACGACCAGGATTCAAGGACGGCGTCAAATCGAGTCAAGGACGGCGTCACGTCCAATCCAGGACGACTCAGGCTGGCCCAGGATGTCGCCACCGGCTCCCTGACGATGGGTTCGAGACCAGGACGTACCAGATGGAGTCCCCGAGGCCACCGGCGAGTCCCTGAGGTCCACAAGGGCCTAGGCTGGGACCTCATGTCCCAGGGGGGACCTGAGGTCCGAGACGGATACCTCAGGTCTCCTGGGGTTGGGGCGGCACGGTAAGGTCCCGGAGGGTCCCGTGAGGTCCCAGGCGAGAATGACCCCTGAATGGGCGCAAAAAGGCGCCCCTCCCTCATCCCGTGGGGATTTTGGCGCCCCAATCACCAAAAAAAAAGGGGGGGGCGAGCATAAGGGGTTTTGCGGGGAGGGTGTCGAGGTAAAGGTAAAAGTGACGACTGGCCAGGGGATTGGGGCGCCCCAACGCGCCCCAATCACCCAAAAATTTTCGCGCTCGCTTCTTCGCTCGCGTTGTTTTTCATTGCCTCTCTGTAGCCACGACTTCATGTCATATGCCCATTTTCTAAACCTAACAGTTACGCATCAAACTTCGTCCGCTGCCACTTTCTCGTGCATTTAAACGATAAAGAAGATCTATTGAAAAATGATAGCACATTTTTGAGTGACTCTTTTTGAGAGGAGCGGGAGATAGTTGTTTGCCCCTGTACTTCTTAATACACAAGAAAAATACGGGGGAAAG